CCCTCCCCGGGGGTGTCCTGAGGAAAGAAGAGAAACAGGCTGCCGTGTGAAGATGCATCTAAAAGCCAGTAACACCTGGGGGTCCAAGAAGCTGGAGATCAGGAAGGGGTTTCCCTGAGAGCAGACGGGGCAGGCACTGCCCAGCTGACACCCCAAATTTAGGCCCTGGCATCCAGAACTGCGTTTTTCTGTTCTCCTCAACGACCTGGTGTTTTATGACAGTGGCCCAAGGAAAGGAGGAACCCTGGGGCGCAAAGCAGGGTAAGCTTCAGGCTGCTCACCACCAGGTCAGCGGTTCAAAACCACCAGCCACCCTGCAGGAGAAAGAGGAGGCCTTCTGCTCCCACGGGATCCGTCGTACTCTCACCTATAGGGTTGTTATGAGTACGGACTCAAAGGCAGTGAGTTTTAGGAAACAAACACAATACACAAGGTTGGCAAACAGCGGCTCTGTGGGGAAAGAGGGAGGCGACCTCCTTTGGAAAAGATTCAGTCTCCAAACACATTCCCGGGCAGCCCTGCTGGGTCCCTGTGAGTCGGAATCCGCTCGACGGCTGCAGGTTTGGCTGCGGTGGTTGGTTTCTGTTTGGCACACGACACAGGCACCGGCAGATGACAGCGCAGCTGGTGGGCTTCCGAGGGGGCTTACCATCACGTCCAAGCAGCAGGGAGGCACCACACAAGGGAGCAGACTCAGAAGGTACTTGTGAGTCACAAGCCACTGGCAGGTGCTCACTGCTTCCCACGTGGGTGACGCGTTGGGCTCTAACCACGAGGTCAGCTCTTCAAACCCACCGGCCGCTCGGTGGGAGAAACACGAGGCTTTTTCCGCCCATCAAGAGTCAGTCGTGGACATCCACAGGGGCAGTTCTACCCTGTCTTCTAGGGTCGCTGTGAGTTGGAATCGAACCCGTGGCAGTAAGATTCAGGGCTTTAAAGCCCCAAGGTTTACTAGCAAGGGAAGGCAGGCTGTAGAGTCATGAAGGCAAAGGAGCTGGTGCGGGGCAGGAGAGGCTGACCCACTGACAGCAGGTGTACAGCTGGAGGAGAGAGGGACAGCGCCGAGGGGTCCCAGGGCCACCCACCTGCAGAAGGCTGTTTCTTTGCAGTCAGCAGACGAGCCGGGCTCTCTAGGGAAGGGTAGGAATCGGGCCAGGAAAGAGGGGCATAAGAGAAGCATTCGTGTTGGCCCTCCCCGCTCCTGGACACTGAGCTAAGCGCTCACCGGGGACAGCAGGGGCAGGAGCAACATGTTGGCTGCTCGATGGTTAGAACCTGGGCCCTCAGATGTGCACAGAGGCCTTGACTGAGTGCCAGACAGAGGTGTCAGACTGAGGGTCAAGTCCAAGTCCAGCCCTACGCTGTTCCTCGTGCCGTGGCCCAGAAAGGAACAAAAGGGGCCGCCAGCCAGTCAAGTCCATGTGCACAGGTGGCTTCCATCTAGAAGGGATGACCCCTCGCATCGTTCGAGGGCCCTGCTGCACCGCCGATGGCACCCTCGTTTGCACCCCTCGTTCCCAGGCAGTGGAGCGGTGGAAATATTTCTAAAAGCCCAGAACACGCTCCAGAGAAAAGGACCTGCAAAGTGACACGTGGGGCCCTCGTGGAAAGCCCATGCGCTCAGCCGAAGACCCTCCAGAAAGGCCGACCCACTGACATGCTACAGATCCACGGAGGCCACTAGAGGTCTGAGCTGAGCTGTGCACACGAGGGACAGAGAGAGACCAGCCGGGAGGAAGCCACGCACTGAGAAGCCCTGAGAAGCCACACTGGCACTCGAGGGCACTGCCAGCCCGTGTGCGATCAGTCACTCCGCAGATGGGAGACTACATCCATGACACAAGGGCAGGGGCCAGGAATCAGAAAGAAGGGTGAGCCAGTGGGCACTTCGTCTCCAACAAGTCCCTCACTAGGCGTACAGGGAAGGTCACACTGAGCGTTTCCCCCCGAAGCAGATCCAACAGCCAAGAGGTGGAAGAAAACTAGGAAGAGCTTCCGCTTGGGAGGCCCAATGTGGGAACGGGAGGGCGTTCACGTGGGGGGATGGGAGCGATCGCAAGGCCTTTACACGGGGTACCACCTGGATGCTATGACATGGCAGCTCTGAACCCCAAGGATCAACCCGAAAACTCGCTGCTGCCAACCAGTCCATGCCGACTGAGCGCCTCTGCAGGGCAGGGCCGCCCCGCCCCGTGGGTTTCCAGACGGCCACGCTCTGTGGGAGAAGAAAGCCTCGCCTTCTCCCGGGAGCGGCCGGTGGTTTCGAACGGCTGACTTTGCTGTTAGCAACCCAACGCGTGAACCCACGATGCCAACGGAAACCTCCAAGCGGGGGACTCAAAATGGTTATGTGTGTGTGTGTGGGCGCGGCGGGGGTGGTAAACACCCCATAATCTTTCCACTCCATTTCCCCAGGGAGCTTCTGAAGCCCCCTGCAAAGGCAGCAGCTGAAAGAGCGGGAAGGGGTTTGCCTTTGAGGAGCAAGGTTTCGTGAGGGGACGGCTGGTCTTCACCAAGATCCTTCGGAAAACCACCCGACGGCCATGCGGTGGATGCCGACTCACAGCGATCCTGAGGGCAGGGTAGCGCTGCCCCGTGGGCTTCCAGGACGAAAGCCCTTTACGAGAGTAGAAAGCCTTGGCTTTCTTTCTCCCACGGAGCAGCTGGTGGTTTTGAACCACCGACCCTGATGTTAGCAGCCTCACACTTCGCCACAACACCAGCAGCCTCCTACAAGGACGTTCGAAAGAGATGCGAAGCTCTGAGCGTGGATGGCTTGGATGAAGATGAGATGAAAAACACAGCGGACAGGAAGTGGGTTGTTTGTCCTGTGGGCTTTTCTGCCTCATGTTGGGCTTCTGGTCAAGACAATGTTTTTCCTTGATTTTAAAAAAAGATCCATTGACTGCCAACCTGAACCAAATGGCTTGGAGGCGAGCTGCCGTTCGATGGGCTCAAACAAGATGACAGGGCAAAGTGGGTGAGAGCAGCTGCTTGCAGAGAGCCTTTGACAAGACTGGGGCCAAGGAATGAGATGCCCAGCGTGGGGCTGGCACAACCCGGCTCTGAAGCATCTAATTTAGGCTAGGACCGCCCGACGTCCCCGGTTACTCAGCACCCAGCGCATCATTTTTATGTTCTCTGCCTGTGTGTTTCAGAGCACGCCAAGTTCGCTCATGAATTAGCTCGTGGTCCCGAGGGCCCTTGGCCCCCAGGATGGAAGGGTTCCAAGCATCCCCCCTGCTCTGGGCTGCGGGGTGTGTATGTGTGCGTGTGCATGCAGATGCTGTCGGGCTTGGGAGGCAGGCGATCAGGAACAGGGCCAGAGGTCATCGTCTCCCACGGGCTCTGCGAATTCTTGCAGTGTTGTGCAAACGTGAGGCCCATTTGTGAAAGGCGCCAGCTTCGGTGCTCTGAGGAAGAACTGTGGTTTCTAGGGTGAGAAGCGGGCTGGTGGGTCCCCTGACAAGGTGCTACAGCCAGGGCATCTTGGGGAGGGACCACCTGGCTCATTCTGATGTCAGCCCAGCCCCTTGGATGGGTCCTCATTTGGCCCAGTGGGACCCAGGATGGATGGATCCTCTGGGGCCTGTCAGTGGGGTGCAGAGGGCAGCTGAGACCAGTTGGGGGGCAGCTGAAGTGTGGTCCTCCAACACTCAGAATATGTGCGGGAATCTCACCCCCCACACGAGGCTCAATTGGGGTCAGGGTGGACTCAATGTGACAGGGTTTTATACCCCTGGGGGTGATCTGGTTTGAGAACAGGGTTTCCCTTGCTTTGCGACTGAGGTCAGATCGGGCAGGGTGCTAGACGCCACCCCTCTGGTTGTGAGTTATGACAAGGGCAGGCTGGACAGAGAAGCCAGCGAGCAGGAGCAGGGACAGAAAGCCCGTGAAAACAGCCAAGGCTGGAGCGTACTGATGGGGAACTGGGCAGGTTTCAAGGGGCGTCCCGCCCCCTGGAGCCCACGGAGAACGGGCCCTGAATTCCTGCCTCCCAAACCGTGTCAAAGTGACTGTCTGTCTCTAAGCCACCCACCGATGCCGAGTCGTTGCAGCAGCACCAGGAAGGAGAGACAGGGCCCCAGAGACCCTCTTTCTGGGCCTTGCCTCCTCTGG